GAGAAACTAACTGAGAAAGTAAGTTTTGACCAGTCCTTGATAGTGATTTCGACAAAATTTTTTGTGTGTTCAGTTTCCGAGGTTGGTGACTGTGCGGTGGTGGAGGTATCTTTAGGTTGCACAGGCTTGCGGGACGTAGAAAAATAGCCAAAGATGCCAGAAGAACTTTCAGAGGTCATGTTTTCGGTGGCAAGTTGAGACTTGGTTAGGACTGTTGTTTGGGGTTTTTTGTTGTTTTGGTATGGCGAGCTATTAGTGCTTTGCAGTGGAGTATGCAAATATTGGTGGTCCTTAGGACCGCTTTCGCGGGAGGGTGAAGAAACTAGTTTTTTGTCTTTTGAAGTGTTTATTGTTATTTACTCGTCAGAAAGAGAACTTCTTTGTTAAAAGGCACCTCTTTTAGGTACTTTTATGGGTGCCGGATAACTTTACTTAAAAGCCGGATATCAAGTTACTTAGTAAATTTTTGAAATAATTCTATGGGAAAGTTTTTTCTTCTTGTTCCTGTTTTGGTAAAAGTGATCTACGGGAAGAGTTTTTTTTGTTACTAAAAAAAGACTTATGTCTTATAAAATAATTAATATATATATGTAGTAATATTAAAAATTAATTAAATTAAAATTACTTTATTATTATTTTTTAAGATTTACTTTTATAATATTATGCATATCTTAAAGATGACTAATTAAATTAGAGGTATTTTTATATTTTTTAATACATGTATATAGTTTTTCAGCTAAGTTTTCTTGCAAATTTTATAATAAATAATTTGGGAATTTTTTTCATTTTTTTCATATTTTTAAAAAAGTAAGCAGTATAATCTTTATTAATTTATAGTTTTTATTTTTTGTTTTTTTTTATTATCTGTAAATAAAGAGTTAGTAATCTAGCTATAATACGCATAATGAATTAAAAGATTCTGAATAATATAGAGTAATGGGTTTATTTTTTATTATAATAAAAAGTATAATAATAAAAAATAATATAATTAATATCATTAATTAAGAAATAATATATTATTAATAAAGAAGATATATAATTATTAATAAAAAAATTATATAATTATTAATAAAAAAATTATATAATTATTGATAAAGAAATTATAAAATTCAACTTATATATTTCAAGATCAAAAATAAATCTGGGTTTAGTTTAAAACTGGTTTGTTGAAGTTTTATAACTAAATTATAATATTGCAAAACTGATTTAACATAAAACTGGGTTAGTCTAAATTTATAGTTGAATTTATTAATTAATTCCAATCTCAAAGTAAACTATTAATTATTTAATGCTATATAGAAGCAGAAAAGACAATAGAAACTGACTTTACAAGCAAGCAATAGCTAAAAAAAAACTCTATTATAGCAAAAAAAATTCAAATGCTTCTTATTAATTAAGACCATTTTTATTTCTTCTGTATTAGTAACCTTATATAACTACTATTTTTTTTTTTATTTAATACCAAATTCTAATAATCATAGTGATTTAAAATTTAAACAATTATATACAATTATTTTAACAATCATATTATAATATGCATACAAGTTATCAAAAGAAATAATTATCACAACAAAGAATAATCAAAAAGGTTAGATAGCAAATGAAAAACTTGATAAACCTTAAAGATATCTCAATTTGATCACTATTAATTATTTTATTTTTACATACATATGAATTATTCTTTTAAAGGGGATAAATAAAATAAGAACTACTATCACTATTAAAATTTATTCATAACCTCTATTCATAATTTCAGTAAAAAAATCCGTCATGCTGACCCAAAGATTAATAATTGTGGCAGATCATAATGAAATCGGATTAAAATGAAACTGGGGACCTTTCTTGCTCATCTTTAAAGCTTATAAAACCCACTTATACTCTTTTATTAATAAAACTAACTCTAAACCCTAACTTTAACACTAACCCTAACCCTAAAAAATGTCCCCCAAAAAATTTTAAATTTTCCTAAAAAAATAGAAAAATTTCATTTTAATCTGATTTCATTTTAATCTGCACAATAATTGATTCATTTTATCCTGAATCGTGGGATTTCTGCAATAATCATGAGACTATTAAAATAATTCAAAATAAAACAATATATCTTATTTTTACATGAATTAAATTATAAAGAACACTTGTAATGGATAATAAGAGGATAAATATTTTTTTATTATGTCTTATTACTTTAATTAATAAATATTATATATCAGTGTAGAAGAGATTTTTTAATAGGCCCAATCTCGAATTTGTAGAGAAAAATTATAGTAGTCGGAAGAATTTATAATAATTATCCCTAGTCTAGCGAAGCAGTAGAATCAACCCAATGATTGCCGTAACTAGTTAAGGCCAATGTTGGCAAAATATGGACATGGACAATATGGACTATTGGACATGAACATTTATGGACTATGTCCATATTGTCTATATTTTCTATTCGACATAGGGCGTCTAATCTAAATCAAACACGTGGCTTCCTACTTCGAAATATTCCGTAAGAATAAGCCAAAATTAAGGTAAAGTCCGAAATATCCCGTACATTCGGTAAAAGAAGATGTAGACATGGACACTATTTGGACTAGCCCAAGTCCAAATTTGAGTGTGAGTCAGTAGAAACACACCAAACTTTTTCTAAGTAAATTTTTTTAAAACTTTGAATAAAAATAATTCAACAATAACTTTATCAAATTTATAAAAAAATTTTTTAAACTAATTCTAATAACTTATAAAAATTATTTAATAAAATTTTTTATTAGATTTGATTGAGTTTCTTTTGTTTAAAATTTAAAAAAAAATTCATTAAAAGATTTGGTGCTTTTCTACTGACTCGCCCCATTTGCCGAAGTCCAAATAAAATTTTTATTAGACTTAGTCAAAATGCCAACACTGGTTAAGGCATAAGCTTTAACTAGTTACAGCTTAAGCTATAGGTCATTTGGACGATTCTACTACATCACTATTCTATTCATTCTTAATCTTTCAATGATGTTATCCTAATCTTTGATTATTTGTGTTTCTGTATCAAAAACTTTATGAAAGCTAATTTTTCATAGCAAATTTTAAGTTTTCTGTAATCCCTTTATTGCTTTAAATATTATAGAAATAATGGAACAACCAAATCTTTTGCACCTTTACCATATAGCGCTCTATACAGTACCCGGCGTGACATGATTTTTACATAGCGAAAAATTAACTATCACGTGTATTACACAATTGTTATATCACATGTCATATATAAATAATACTATTTACCTATTAAAGATTGTGTGTCGCTGATCACTATCCCATGATATCAAAACCAAGTATATAATTTTGTATGACCTTGGCACGTTCCATGATTCTTTTCTTTAGAAAAAACTTTTAATATGTTTTACAGCTTTCACTAATTAATTTTTCTTTATTCGGTATCGTGTCATTCGTAACTCAAATTACGTATATCAATGATACAATTAAATGAGTCAATCAAATAGCAGTAGCACTATACTTTTTAAAAATCCGACGCAAAAATAAACACTCTTATTTATCGTTAATTATGCCTACTAAGAAGAAAAAAGGCAAACAAGGTCCTTTAGGGGATCCAAATAAAAGGCACCATTACATTCCACAATTTATTCTACGTACCTTTGCTATTGATAATTACGATAGAAAATTTGTAATGTCACCAAATTACCAACTTCAAGCCCTACCGTATAAGAATAATAAAAATCAGCTTTGTCTTCAAACCTATAACAGAATGGATAATCAACTAGGCATCTCTTTAATTAAGGATACCTATGAGTATGAATATATGTACATAGATCTTAATAACGAAAATGCAATGCATGTAGAAAAAGAATTATCAGTTCTTGAAGGAAAAGCTTCAAAAGTTATTCGAGATATTATAGAAAAATCTCAAAGTGAAAGTCAAATTGTTTTATTCAGAAAAGACCTAAGTGAACTACGTAAATTTCTTTTCATTATGGACTATCGAAAACCTCATAGATGTTCTCAGTTTAATAGAGAGAAATTTGATCATCCTACATGGTTGAGGGTACAAGAATTTATTCGAAGCTGTAACTTACAAAATGCTCGAGAAGTCTGGTTACAAAATATTACTCAAATATTAAAAACCCCACATAAAGAAGTAAAAGATAATCCACTTATTTTTGAAATAGATAGAGATAATTACAAACAGCGTATGGTTGATAGTTTTCTTGTAATTTGGCAGGCAGGAGAAAATGATGAATTTTTAATGACAAACAATGGATTTGGAACCTTTGAAGGGGTGTCTGGAGAAATAGCTGAAGGATTGCCTTTTCAATTTCCTTACCACCTTTTTTATATTATCTCTCCAAAGTTGGTGCTAGTCCTTTGTCATATTTCATTCCGAAAAGGATTAGAATTTGATAAGCATATTTTGTATAATGAAATGGGATTTAGACGATCTATATTTGAAAATGCCCCTCATCCACATGCAACACCTAATTACGTTAGCAAAATAAATGCATCCCATTGTTCTGACACACTTTATTCTGACATGCCATATGACTTAGCGATGAAAAGTATCGGTCTCAGAAGGCACGATGATGACACATTTACTTTTCCTTTTGCCAAAATTACATCAGCTACTGTTCACCTCGTAAACTCTATTATACTCAATGAAACAAATGAACAAGACTTAGTTGTGTCCTTCAATTCCCCTTCGTATCTTTATAAAACAATTGTCAAATATCATGCAAAACAGCACATTGGTTTTACTCAAAACTTTTCTAATTTGAAAAAAAAATTGTTTACAACTTTAAACAGAACCCATGAAGATTTGTGTCTTCGAAAAAATATCCAAGTTAATCGCTCATAAAATTGTATACAAATGAAAGAAGTTTACTTATTTTTTCTTTTTTTTTCTATTATTTTTGAATTATTCACTATATATATTTTTTTTTATATAAATATATTATTTTCTTTTTAGATTTATATATTTTAAATCATTAGCATTTCACTTTCACAATGTTGATTCATCAGTTTATTGAATGTTATTAAGTTACAGGAATTATTTAGTTAAATTGTTCTTTCTTGGTGGCTGCCCACTTAGGAGGTCATAATTCATCCCAGATCTGGAGTTGTGTTTAAATTACCTTGCACAAGATGCACATGTGCAGTATTTTGTGCAAAAGAAGTTCTAAATGTATATGCATAAATGTGCAATTAAATTTGATAAGAGCTTGCGCAAAAAATGACGTGCAAGAGAAATTATAAAATTTTATTGCATAAAAATTTAATCTAAATATAAAATACGAGATAGGATAAAGATATGTAGTCTGAAGTGTTCAGAAAGGAAAATTAATGACTTAAAATACAAGCAAGGTTGAGTTTAAATTTTGAGAAAATATCTAATATCTTCCGAAAAATCGAGCAAAAAATATATTTTGGTATAGTAATTTTATAACATTGGTATCATTCAGAGATAAAATAAAAAAATGAAATTTATTATGCGCATGTGTGCATCTAATAGTTGGTTTGTGCATTCAAAACCTATGACACAGCTGCATTTGTGCATATAGGTTCGATCTGAATCTTAAACGCTGATCGGGACATTAATTTATAAGCTTATTTTTAAAAACTTATTGTTATTATTATGGACTAATTTAGTGAGAAATGAATAGCTCATCTTAGTATTTGATCCTGATGATCATCATTAACTTGTAGCCTGAATTAACTTAAATAAAAGATAATAAATGATCATTAAATATTTTAATTAATAAGAAGCATTAGTTTATTTTTAAACAGTATGTCTGATATATTCTATCAATTAATGCAAAGAAAATGAATAGAAATGATATGATTTATTCGAATAGTATTTCACGCATGTGATATGTATTACATTTAGATACACTCTACAAATAGAGCCAAATATTAAACAAACATTATTAAATGAATTTTTACCAGGTAAATACATTTATGGTTTAATGTATTTATAAATAAGCATTAAATTTATAGATTATCAAACAAATATTTACACTCAAAGACTAAAAATAGCATAAATATATGAATTATAAAAATGCTTTTAATTTTGCATAAAACGAAAAAATTTATACAATATATTACTTTTCAATCCATTCTTTTATATTTCATAATTCTCTTCCACTCCAATTCCATAATAATAACAAATGGCAACTCCTTTGAATTATCCTCTGCTGATTGCTTATAGTGTACGAATACGATATGCTTATTCACTTCAACATCAATTCCTAAATTAACAACCAACTTTAAACATTCCATTTGAATTATCATATTTGCTGATTTTAGTAATAAACAAATGTTTTATATTCATCTTATCAACAATAACTCCATGTTCGTAACAATAACCAAGTCAATATATTCTATCAGAATTGATAAAATCATTCTATAAAAAGCATCAGTGATTTTAGTAGTATTATCTGATAAACTAAGATTGATTGTCAATTACAATCTCTTTCTGGGCTCTCTTCAAACATTTTCGATATATGAAAGATGATATCAAGAAAAAGTAATTTATAACCAACTACCGCAACGCACCCAACTATTTTTTTTATTGTGCAAATCTTTTGTAATCTTATTAAAGATCTAAACTTAGCAATTCGTATTAAGCAAATGATGCGACTTCATTGAGTAATCGTGGGTTTGTATTCTGACATGGGAAAATATAATGAAGCTCTTTCAGACTTTGAGGATTCGCTAAAGATTGAACCAAATAATGTAGCAGCACTTGAAGGTCGCGGACAGGCATATAGTGCTTTGGGCAAATATGATGAAGCATTTACAGATATAAACAAAGCAATAGAAACCAGACCTAACGATCCAGTTTCTTATAATCATCGCAGATTAATTTATTATTATAAAGGAGAGTATGAAAAGACGAAATTCCGGATTGGCTTATACCAGAATGAAAAAATTTGATGAGGCGCTTGAAGATTTTAATGAATCATTAAGCATCTTACCAAATTTCGCTATTGCGTTGAGAAATCGTGCAAATCTTCATTATACAATGCATAATTATGACGAAGCAATTAAAGATTTAGAGAAAGCATTAGAACTTAATCCAAATGATATAGTTTCATTAGAAACTCGCGGAACTGTCTATGCTCTTATGTATAACTACGAAGAAGCGAAGATTATAAAGACCAGTGGTGCAAACGAATTAGTTATGATTCGTTTAGGGATTTTAAAATTGATATAGTCGTAATACATTAGTACGTAATAAATATTATAACGTAGGTCATGATCTCATTATTTATTTCTCATATTGTAGTTATTTACATTATACAGAAGAATTTGGTTTGCTGTATTTATACTCGTTTTTATTTTTTATTATCCATAATATAATGTTTTACAATTTTAATGCGACAAGCTTTGAAAAATTCAACATATTTAAATATGGGAAATTTGGCATCTTCCGCATTTCTGATCAATTAGTTATACAATGTATGAAATACAAATATAAATAAATTATCTATCGCTATATATTGCATAAAACCACAAACAAAAGTTTTGACAATTAAATATTACGTATAAAATTCTTATCACTTTAAAATACCAATACAGTATTATATAGTTATTGTGTTTATTATTATATATTTCACGTACAAAACTCTTTTGATAATAAACCTCTTTTTAAATATCCTTGGGTCTAAAAATCGATTTTTTTAGAGAGGCTTAAACAGTGAACCTATTATAACATTTAAAATTATTACATTAAATATCCTACAACTGTGGAAAGGAACAGTATACCAATTACAATAAAATTGCTATAATAAAAGATGTAAAAGATGGTTGCATAGGATTATTTGAGCTTTCATTTTTTGTTGTTACTCATTTATAATTCAGAGTATCAAAGATATAAATTTTGATCCTTATCAAGCTGAGAATTATCGTTATACGCCTTTACAATATATGAATTAATTTATTAATTTACAGTAGAGATGGGACACGAAACCTTTTCGAAAGTTTTGGGTTTCGGATTATAGGTTCCGAAACCTCTTCCGAAATCAGAAACCCTACCCGAAACCTATCCGAAACCTACCCGAAACTCTATAACTCTGCCAAAAACCTTAAAACCCTATTTTGATCTTTTTTTAACGCTCAAAAATGTTAATTTTGTATAATATATAATACAGCAGTCCTGATTTTTTTAAAGGACATAAAAATAAACAGAACTAATATTCAACAGTTGACCTTAACAGATAAATAATAAGTGCCTAATTTCTTGCCTGCCTAAAATTATTATTTAATTCACGTTAATTTTATTGATGTACCTTTTGGTTTCATTTATTTACACTAATTTATTTGGTAAGCATAAAAATCATTTTTTCTACTTTAATATTGACTCGGGATAGTAAAGCCGCCCATATTAACATGTACTATTATAAATGTTATTTTAAAAAAAATTGAACCGTATTATTTGTCACGCAAGGTATTAAACGTTTCTAATTAATATATGTGACGTATTTTCATACATTAAGATGTGTCTATTTTCTACTCTAAGATCTAACGAATTTCCTTAAACTTTTGTTATTTGTTTACATTCAATCTCTATTTTCAAATTCTTTTGTAACGTTATTTGTTATTCATCCCATTATTGTCGCTACCACATTGTGTAAGTAAATTTGTAGTAGATTAGATAGAATTTAACAGAATAACTTTTGGATAATATTCCGATTTGAGAATTATCGGAAAGAAAATTCCGCTAAATTCTCAAAAGATCCTAATATTTATTTATGTGATCTTAATTTGATGATCGGGAGGATATCATTTAATGTGATTTACGTATATGTTAAACTTTATTTAGTAGTGTCTATTAATTAACGAGTCTGTGTAGCCATTTTTAGACCTTTATAATATTTTATTCTTTTGTCAAAAATTACAAAACAAAAAATTTATATTAATCATTGTGTAGCTATATAAATTGTCAGATCTCCGGTCAGCATGTAGCACACATAATAATATAATAATCGGAGGGTATAAATTTGTTTGTTATAAAATGGAATATTTTTTATTTAGTAATACTTTTCCGAAATTCTAGTTAATCATGATAGAACTCACTTGTAGTCTAGAAAAATGCACTATTGAAAATTAATACAATGGTATACTACGCATGGATTGTTCTAGAAATTGTAAACAAAGAAGCACAAGCAAAGCCATGTTTTCGTTATACGACCAATAATAGTTGTATTGAATTACTTTTAGAAATTGTCAATTTTAGAAAGTACGTACGTACGTACATATGTAACCGTCCACTAAACTTTAAATTATATTCTAAATTGTCGGAGATAAGAGAAAGATGATGTATAATACGCATATTAAAGTTGTATACTAGCCCCCTTTATGACTTTACTAGATTGAGCATAAAATAATTTATTTTGTGTATAATGAATCTAATAAGATGAAATTAGATTATAGTCACAATAAAAAAATTACCAAGTATTAGCGTTAGTAATTATTAGGTTGACCAGTTTAATTTCATTATTTCTGTAAAACTTCCTAATACCAAAAATTGTTTATAAAAAATTTTGATAAACTAACTCGTATTGTATATTTTTGATTGTCTGAACATACACATACACATACACATACACATACACATACACATACACATACACATACTCATACTCATATTGAATGCAAACATTCTAATAAAAATTGAGACGTTGTTGAGTTGTTTAATATTTGCATCTAAAATATAATATACTAAAATATAATGTACTAAAATATAATGTTCTTTAAACATAAAGTATAAAACTATGGATTTGAGTTAATACTAAGCTGAATGGATTTAGAGCAGGACTTTGAACTAATAAAAAGTTGCTACGTAAAAGTATCTGCATAATTGATGATTTTTTACTTGTTTCTTAATCTCCCTAATCGGTTAAAAAATTTTTTACTGAAACAATAAGGGTAATTTTCTATTTGTACCGAGTATATTAAAAAAAAAAACAATTAGTTAGAGTTCTTTTTGTTTATTTAAAAAAAAAACCGACTTTAGAAATTTGACAAACATTTATAGAAACATAAAGAAAATAATTAATGTATGAATTATAAACAATAACGACAAAGGATAAAAAGGCATAATTTATTCAATTATAATAATGTATTCGAAAATAATGATAAATTAAATTTATATTCCAAATTTGAGAAAAGAACACTTCAAACATTTTGTAATCTTGCATTACTACATATAAAAAATTATATTACTAAAAAGTTATTTCTAAATTCGAAATTCGAATAAAAAGTCATAAATTACTATTGTTAGAGTTTAAAGGAAATATATTGATACGTAATATCTCCTTTTTCTGGATATGGCTGTATCTGTACGCCCATTTACCATAATGAGTTTAGCTCAGACGGAACTCCGGTACTGTATACGTACAAACAAATGTAACACACATGATTAATACAAAAAAACTGAAATGAAATTCCTTGAAGAATTCTCTTAGTATTACAAACACGGCCGAATAACAAAAGCTCAAAAATTACCCCAGTCTTCTTTTCATTATAAATATAAGTCTATTTGAATAAAACCTAAGGTAAAAAAGAAATAAAAACTTTTTAGAGCAAAGCTTTTTGTGTACGTTAAGTAAACGTGAAAAATAAATAATATTTAATTAAAAGTTAACTAACTACACAAAAATGGCATATGAAAAACCTGCAAGAAATTCAAGGTCAAAAAAATCGTGGGTCCAAATATTACAATCTAATATATATAAACGGGATATGAAAACAATTCAGGATTTTTTGAATCTTTCAACTTCAAAAATTCCATCTACAGTCCCTGAATTTATGACAATATATACCATCAAGGATGATAAATGGGAGAAAGAATCAGAATTAAGTTTAGTGCAAGACATTTTTTCGCAAATTTATTTTCATTGTAGGGAATTTAAAGAAGGGGAAACGATAGCTGATATGTTTGACTTATCTGAAGGAATATACAAGTATTCATCTATAGTTCCAGAAAATTATGATGAAATGATTGTGGTAACAAAAAAATGGCATGAAACATTTAGAGAACAGTATCTTACATCTAGCGGTGAGAAAAATAATAAAGATGATATTATTAATGATTGTAAAAAGAAATTTGAAATTTGGATAAGCGAAGAAATTAATAGAGTTAGTCAATTTTGTGATGAATGTGAACGATTAAATTCAATATTTAATAAATTTTCCCAAGTTATAAAGGACGATTGGGAAACTGGTCTTAAGCCTATTATTCATAAAATTGAAAAAAAGTTTCAAAAATCTAGTAGAAGTAGTAAGTAACATATAAAATTACGTTAAAAAAATAAATTGATTACCTTTTTCGAAATGCTAATATACTTTTTTTTCGTAGGGAAAAATTATCCTAAACATTTACAACAAACAATAAATGATCTCGCAAAATCTGTTTCTGACTCTTCTCTCGTTTTACAGCCAATAAGTGGTAATTAAAATATATTATTTATAATCTTCAATTTCTTTGACTCAAATCGGTATTAACTTTATCATTATTATTCATTTCAGATAAATGGAAAACATATAGTAGAGATTTAGAAAACATAAAAGCTACATTAGAAAAAATTGGTGAACCAAGGTGTCTACTGCCCACGAGAAAAATTCATCTAGAAAGTATAAAAAACAAGTGGAAAGGGTTGAATAAATTGTCGTTAGAACTTTATAGCTTATTATATTACTTTGAAATAGAGAAAGAGTGATGAAAATGATGTTTTTTTTTTAGTTGAGGCGTTTAAATAATATTTTAATAAGTATATATTATTTTAATTTATATATAAAAAGTATGTAATATATATATGATTTCTATTTAGAAATTTAAAAGTAAATTTATACCAAGTAACTATCTTATACGTATATGTTTATAAAAATTATTTATTGTCCGAGAATATTTATACAATGATTGCCTTTTTTAATTAACAATTAATCATTATTTTTAATGGCTCGGATCTCTACAAAACACTCGCATCATTCGAAGAATTGATTTTACGACTACAAATTTGAATCCTTTTATAAAGTTATTTAAAATGTCTTTTGCAGTTTCAGTGATGATTCTAAATATTGAATATTGTAATTGTCAAAAATACTGTATTGTCGCTTTCGCATGAGAATAAACGCACAAGTCACGTTATAGATCAATAACTGATAAGATAAAAATAGCATTTCAGTATATCGCGTTATATTGCAATTTACTAATAGAGATTACTAATAGAGATATAGTATTAAATGATATCAAGCTTACTCGATCCATGAAAAATTGGATAAGCGACGTAATATTATAACAATTTATGTCTTTATTTTTAAATTTTGAAACGAGTAATAATAAGAAATCCTGATTTATGGTATTTATAATGATCCTTCAAAATTGATTTGAAGATGTTACTTATACCAGGTTGTATTAATTATTAGTCTTGCAGTGTAATGGTAAATTTGATTCATAATTAACATAATTCAGCTCAGAGCTATAAAGTAATTTTATGCACTTGAAACTCAATCTTATTATACACTTTGTATAATAAATGAAAAACCATTTCTACAGGTCCACAATTACAAAGAACCTTGTTTGCCGAAATAACATAGATTGAGTAAACTTTGATTCTCGTAATGTGCTACATATCGATATGTGGATTTTTTTAATCAGATATCATTTGTATCAGGAAACCGATGAAACAAAGCATAGGTTAGATCCGAATTTATTGTTTCACAAAATCATAATTCTGATTGGATATTATGATCTTGCTGATTTTCACGTCTCTGATCAAGGAGCAATTACCTTTTATTGCACTGTATGTAGTACAGTATTGTATTACGTATTTGAACTTAGCGATCATATGCATTTCAAATGGTTATAATCTGCAAGCTTTTAAAAAAAATGCACAAGCTTCTTTGTCTTATTTTTTAATAAAATTTTGAATCTGTTTTATTTCACCGACAACCGTTTCATCGACAGTTCATTTAGCCAATATCACGCAATTTACTAATATAAATATGCCTGCAACTAATCAAATGTCAATCCTAACCCTATGTTATGCTGGCAAATAAAATGTTAGGCGAAATGGCTTCGGTAAAGTAAGCGGCACCGAAAGATTTTGTGGTAATGAAAGCTTATTCTACAAAACTCGGTCATACATGAATGTTACAGAATATGTGATGGCTGTGTTGTACATTGAATCCATTTAAGTACGTACGTACGTACGTGGCACTAAAGTTATACCCGAATTAAAATTCGCTCAAATTAGTAAGGAGCTTCAGCTAACATAAGGTTAATTCCGAATCTATTTAAAATTATATATTCAATTTTAATTGTTACAATACATTATAAGGTTGTTTATGCGTATATTCAGTTATATACTTTATCACAAGAATGACTACACCTTCAGCAAACAAGTTCACTTTTTTTTTACATTTTCAATGAGCTTTTCACATTATCTATGCGACTACATTTATAATATTATTATTAATATTGACACACTTATAGATGATTATTTTCGAATTCGGCAAATCGTTCAGGCTTTCGATTACATTTACTAACGAAAAAGTTATCAAATAAATCTTTCAAATGTATTCAAGATAAAAATTCTAGCTTCTTGCAACTTGTAGTTTTTTTTTCTTCAAATACTTATGCCACATCAAAAATAATAAATAATAAAATATGATTCATTATGTTTGTTTAGATCCAAGTAAAAAGCCTCCTACATTCAAATAATGCAAAAATAAGATGAAAATCAAAATACAAAACAAATAACAAAGATTATATTATATGCCTATAGAATGTAATATACAGTCATACCTGAGTTATATCTCCCCTTTTTTTCTAGAGCATTTTTGGGAATATAGTTAAGGTGGGGATATAACTTAGGTATTGCGGCTTTGTCATGTGATCGCTGACCAATTAGATATACAATTTATTTTTTAAACAAAAATATATGTTTAACAACCAATAGCTTTTGATTCAGCAATCTGTTTTGGAGGATTTTACCACCAGAATGACTGTCTCAACGAGACAATTCCAATGAGCTCAAGATCATCTGAATCCAAAGGTTTTTTGTACTATTATGGGTTTATTTAAATCAATTTAATCTAATTTTATTATAATTTTTGACAGTTATTAAATGACAAATTAATCATTTAATTTAATAATATTAAAAGATTAAAATCATTAGAATATTTAGTTGTGATCCTAGAATCATAATCACTAATTTATTTAAAATAATAATAGTTTGAAAATAATTTAAATTTAGTATAAAGAACTTTACTAATAATATTGATTATTAATCAATTAAATTTAGAGTTGAGTCTCTTATATTAAACTTGATCCACAGATATATTAATTAATAGAACTAATAGTTAGACTATACAAAGTTAATAGCTTATTTTTTTAATTTCAAAAAATTATTATTATTTTGTTAATTTTATTTTTTCTAATATTATCTCTTAATTATTTATTACTATTTACTTAATTTTATATATTTATATTTGAATTTAATAAATAGTTTAGGCTTTATAACCTTTATATATATACAAAAATTTATAGATTTGTATTACTTGATCAATTCTGGTCAAACCTATAAATCATTTGGCCAAATTGAAACTAGTTATTCTAGATCTAATTAACTAATTTGCAGTTTTAATCTAAATTATAAATAATGAGATATGGTTTTATACCACTTAGCCATATTAAAAATCTAAAATTAGCTATAATTTAACAAATTAGCTAAGCTATTTAATCTGGCTAATATTAGCTATAGCCAAGGTTGGCAATGAACTATAATAAGTTTTGAATAAATTGTTAATAAATATTATCTACAGTCAACCCTCTCAGAATCGGTATGCATGGTGGACAGGTTTTGTATCAGTTTTGAGAGGTGATCGGATTTGAAAACATAACAAACTATTAGATTTATATAACGGGAACGGACTTGGCAGATTAATTTTTTATTAGATTTGACAGGTTATCGGTTTAGACAGGATCGGTTTTGAGAGGGACGACTGTATTACTATTTGATAAGTTATATTATAGCTATAGCTATCTCTATTTATAATGATAGAATATTAATAATCTTAAAAAATTTAAGATTCAAATATTTGTTAAATTGGTTGTAGTTTTGTAAATTGTTATAGTTTTATCAAATAAAACTATTAATAAACCATTTTCATTACAAAAATAGTTTCATTATCTATTTTTAATTGCAGCACACTTTATATTTCTATTTACTAATAAATTAATTTAAATACTTATAGACTGACTAAAGTAGTTGCTAAAGTGGTATACAGTATATAAATTCGATATTTTTGAAGGTTTATTTAGATTTTAATTTTACAATTTTTTTAGTTTATAATTATCAAAGTAATAGTTTACAATATTAAAATACATACTTGTAACAAATTTTTTATTTTTTTTTCAAAAAAAAAAAAAAAACCAAAAAACATTCTTAACTTATTATAACTTAAATAAATATTTGTATAACTATAAATCAATAACAATATTAATTAGTTTCTATGGTGCGCCAAGTTACTTCTCATCAAAAATCATGTTTATTTTAAAAATCTTAAGTTTTAAATATTTTTTAAAAATATAACCGATAAAAACTATTGTTTTTTATTAGTATTTTCCAAATTATCGGTTAGAATTTTTTAAAAAGTTTACGATTTAAAGTTTTAAATGTTTAAAGCTACGTATTATGCTTTCAAAATTTTGGCGTTTAATATAAAAAATTTTAAAAATTTTTTTTATAATTTTTTTTATCCAATCAGAATTAGTATATAACACATTCTGATTGTCTAAATAGTATTTATATATACCCTAAAATTGGCGCATTTGATGTGAAGTGACTTGGTGCACCATAGTTTGACTAATATTATCATTCCAATCTAACTTTCTGATCTAACCAGGTACATATTTTTGAGGTATTGGATTTTAAAAAAAAAAACATTAAAAAATGCATTTTGCAAGAATATCACACTGATTTTTTTGAATATTGTAGAATAATATTGGATTAGAAAGAAAAAAAATATTAGCAATTGTACTTGTAGGAGCATCTTTAAAACTGTAAACTTTAGAGAAAACCATAGATCAGAAGAAAAAAAATGAAATGATACACTTTACAAAAAGTTGCACTGATATTTTTTATCTTGAAGAGATTAAGATCGCCTCGAGATAACAATGAAATTATGCTAATTTTTTGAATCACGATCTACGTAAGTTCAGAAAATAATTTTGGATCAAAAAAAGAAAATATCAGATCATTCTATAAGAATACTATACTGATTATTTGATCCTAAAGATGATAACCTTGGACTTATCCATTCTATTTTTTAATTAATTAATTATTTATTTACTTTGACTTATTTATCTGACATAATTTTATGAATTTTGTATTAATCATCAACTTCAGTTCCATGTATGTAGGCTAAAAAAAATAGTTTTTATATGAACTTACTAATTTTTTTGTGAAGTTAACTTTTTTAAAATGAACTAACTATTAAGCAGAAAAGTTCTTTGTCGATTTAAAGCTATAAAGAAGTTCGTTGAAGCTGGTAAGCAAACAGGAGGAACCGTCGATGTTACACAACTAATTTTACACACGGCGTGAAACACATAAAAAATTATTTTACAATACTTGATCAGTCAGCTAGCACATGTTATGATTATAATCCAACACCAGTTTTTATTATAAAAAAAATGATGTTGGATTATAATTGT